AAAGGTTTCATATTCATATACGGTTTTTATGTAGGGTTGTGCAGATGCCCTGTACCATCATCTGTCATTGATGTGTGACAGCTGTTGGTGGTGACTCGGGGCATGTGAAATAAGCACCAAGCTACTGTTGGGTGCTGGTATTAACTCTCAGGGGAAAATCAGGTATTTTATTACAGTGTCTACCTGTTTGGTCCTAAACAAAAACCACCATGAGAGTGAATTGTTGGAACAGCAATCAGGCAAACCTGTTTCTATTTAGCTAAGTGCTAAGTGCTAGCTCGCAATGCATCTCTCTCAAGTCTGTCTGTCTCACTAACTGAGCTGGGCAGTGCGTCTCTTGACAATGACTAGCTAGTCTCTTAAGGCAAGGTTTCATTACACTCTCGACTAATGCAAAGTGGAAAGCAATGGATTGACATTGACTACGGAATGTACATTGAATGTAAAATGTTGATTAACTGGGCACACTGGGCAATATGGATACACCGAAAAGCTTTAAGATGTTTAAAATGATGTGAAGACAAAGAAAATCAACAAATTGTCATATTTGAGGCGCTGGAATTGTCAGATTTTTGGAATTTGTGTTTGCAAAAATCCTAATTTGATAAATCACTTATCAAGATAGTTGCTAGTTAATTTCTGTAAATCAACTAATCGATTAATCAACTAAGAATTGCAGCTCTAGTATTGACCAAATGACCACAGTTACTATTTTGCCAGGTCTTTCAAGATGAGCTGGGTATATGACAGCGTATAGTGTAAGTCCTACCTTTTCACAGGAAGCAATGAATTAATGACTAAATGAATGTACTTTACACTGACCAGGATGTTAAAAAAATACCAGTAAATGAACTAGATTTTAATTACAATTAGTCTATTCATTGATTGGTCAATTGACAGAATTGCTGGTAACTATTGTGATAATCAATCATTCATTCGGAGTCTTTTTTTTTCCTTTTTAAAAAATTTTTAAGACGCCACCTTGGTCTTCGACAAAATTTGGATGGGCATTTTTCTGAATTTACGTTCATTTTATTGACCACATGACTAATCGTGAAAAAGCCCCGTTGAGAGTTTCATGCCTCCCACAAGGCTAACACAGGATTACTCCATCATATGATTTATTTTTATGTGTGGACGCTCTCTGATTCACTGAGCGCATGCGACTTTTTTGTGGTGATTTCAAAATTTATGATGCATTCATGCTTGCGTAATCCTGGTACATTACGATCAGTTCAGTACATATTTGTTAATTCAGGGTCGAACATTCAGGGATGGCGACGGGGCTTGGTAGGGGCGCTTTGCCATGCTGCACAATGCAAATCAATCCATCATGCAGACTTTTATCGACAGTCACAGTAAAAAGGGGTGTGTCTCCTCTTTTAGATCCTTTTAGCTTGAGCCAGACGGCATCATGCTTACTGTTTTTTTTCCTGCTTATCTAGTACACTGAGCTACATTTAACAGCTGCCTGCAAAGAATATAGCATGTCATGCCATGACTTCTATGTTTATACCTATGGCCTGGGGTTAGTGTGGGCTAACTGTCATAGATACACAATGACATGGACTACCTTGTAAATTGTGTTTGTTTTCCTTGCAGCTAATCTCTGTTTGTGGGTGTGTGTGTGTTTGTGTGTGTGTGTGTGTGTGTGTGTGTATGTGTGTAACTGGATGTGACAAGTGACAATGACTACGTATGTATGTATGTGTGTGTGTGTGTGCGTAACTGTGCACACCCTGCAATGTGTCAGGGGTAAGTACTTTGCTAGTCAGCTGGCCAGTTGTTGAGAGAGAGGGATGCACAAATCTGATGATTAATCACCGTCTGCACCTCCCTAGCCTAATGCTTAGCAACTGCAGAGCACCAGCGAGGCCTCGACTCCGCCATACTCAGTCCACCTCAGTCACAAAATGAATTCCTATTCTCCTGAAACAACATAATAGGATTACCATGCAGCCGAAATATAACTGTACCAAGAAGGTGGTACATAAACTGGTACCATTAACTGTAGAAATGCAGCAGGTGCCAGAAATACTTATATAAATTGCTGCCACTTACTTGAATGTATTTTTGTTTGTGTGCTTACCTGTGCTAGGCTATACTCACATTTGGTGTACAGTTTTCACAGGAACCAGTTCTTCACTTGTGTCCCCCCCCCCCCCCAATCTATGAATGTTTGGTTTATGTGACCTGAAGCAATAGCCTAAGTCCACATAAGATACTGAGGCGGATATGAGAAAATAGTGCACATGGTCTGGCCTATATCCCTCTGTTGATATTTGTTTTGAGGGAGAGTGTTCACTGGGTGTGTTCTTCTACCATGTCATCGCAGTTTTAGTATGTTCCTTTCGTCAGTGTGGGAAATCTCCTCCAGCCCTTGTGCTGGTAAAATTTTGGCTACAGCTTGGAAGTTTGGCTTTTTCACCAGCAAGTGTGCCAGACATCCAACCACGCTCTTTGGATGATGAGATAGTAAAAGTAGCTCTTGAATTTTGGGAGCCACTCTAGATGCCAGGCAGAAGATGAAAAAGGGAGTTCCCTGCCTGCCAAACTCGTGGTCATATGGTTCACTGAAACAGGTCAGTTTTACTGAACCCCCAAGCATTTGACCCCTGTGGTGTTCATGGTGTAATATTATTACACACTGAGCTTTTTTTTCCCCAGGTGGTTTTGCTTTTAGGCTGATCCTTCCAGATACTGGCCTACAGTTTGTTGCGAGGGTGTGACCTGACCTGGTTACAGGATAAATACTACAGGTTAGGCCTAGATTCATTTGTTGGAAAGACAAAGCAGTACATGGAAATTGTGACTGACTATACAGGTTGCTTACAGGTTGACATGTTGGGTAATTCTTGGCTATCCAGTATCAGATAGCACATTTCATTCTTTATCTCTGCGTTGTGATTGTAGATTTTCTTTTAATTTCTCACAGCTTACTTTAATTGATGGGTTTTATGCACACTGTCATGCTTTATTCCTCTTGTTTAATGGTAATGTGTTGCTTTTAATCTGGGAACATCAGCCCACAGTTGTCACTTCTCCCTGTCTCTTTGCTTGAGACGGGTGTGATTTCAAGTATGCCGCATAAGAGACAAATAGCGTCTCTGTTTTTTAGTCAGATCTCCACATAAACTGTTGCTACCTCTGATTGGAAGAATGCACCACTTGGCCTTTTAACTCTTGAAAAACATGGCAGCTGTCCACATTTCTCCCAAACCATGCACCAAAATTAAGCATCCGAATAAAGTTTGGAAAAAGATGCCATTGCCGAATGAGGCTTTTCTTATCTTTTTAGCAGCTGTCGTCCACAGGGTTTACAAGTGTTCAAGAGGCTGTTTTCCCCACTTAAATCTTGTAGCAAAAACCGAGATCGTGAAATGTATCCTGACTCTAATATTTTACAACCATATATCTTTGTAGTCCAGCAGCCTCGTCCTCCTTCCCCTGATCCATGTGCCAAATGTTAATCTGGTGTTATTTGTTCTTATGTGCATTTTAAAAATCACTGTTTATATAAAATGCTACTTCCTGGTTTAAAGCATATTTTTTTTTGGAAATATCTTTGCAAATAGTACTTCAAAATGATCAAGTCAAAAAGATATGATGCAGAAAGTAGGAAAAAAAAGTTTATTTCAGTTGTGACCAGACAGTTAAGAAAAAAAGAATCATGACTAAACATTTTAGTCATGATGTACGGCTTATTGAACAACAACTTGTAGCCAGAAGAGTCATGCAATATGAGATCTCTGCCACATGATTGAGGAACAGAAAACTTTTTTTTAAAGGTATTTCTGCTTTTAAGGTGGCACGCATTGGAGACTGACTGGAAAAAAAAAAACAGGGAAGAGACAGAGGAAGGAATGAAACAGTTAAACACGTGAAGATGTGGGGACATAAAGCATTTAGCACCAGTGGTCAATGTAAAAAAGAAGGGTACATATTTCATATTGTGGTCTTCAGTAGCTTTGTCGACCTAAATTGTGGTTATTTTGGACAGAAGAAGGTTATCAGTTTGTTCTCAAGTTGTTGTCAGAGGCTGCATATGTTTTTTTGGTTAAGGTGGAGTCAAGACAGAAGCCTTATCAGCATGGCACTTGTGCATGTGCGTTTGTGTAAGGGCACATGTCTTTGGTGTGTGCGCATATTTTATGTATACACAGTGGATGGGTGTGTGTGTTTACACGCATTTGTGTGTGCACACAAACATTTGCAGTATGTTTGGTATGCCAAGGATGCCCTTGTTGTGGGTGACAAAGCTGTTGCTCCTGCTTGGTTGTACTGCTTGTTTTACTGTTGACTTCTATTATACTGGCTCATTGAATAAGTGGGTTTATTGCAAACCTATGAGGATGTGTCATAAAATAATACCACAAAGATGAATTGCTGATCAGGAGTGTTTTATCAAAGTCCTTGTTTAATTCAAATGGTTCACACACCTGTGCCACAGAGATGTCTGAAGGTATTGTTTGAGCTCCCATTTGGAGGCCTTACAGAGTTTGGCCGAAGCATGAACAATTAAAGCAGAAGAAAAAAACTGTTTATCTCGGTGTTTACTTTGCAGAATATATGAGTAATCAACTTGAGATTCCACTGATGCTTATGTGAAACTAGGGCTGACTCCTAATGTATACTGTTGGTCATTCTCACTATGAAAGGCCAATGCCAAAAGTGTCAGAACCTTAAAGTTAAAAGGCCATCATGTATTTAAATAATGGGGGGGAAGGACCTGGCTGTTCCTTTGAAAAACGTATTTTTTATTAATAGCTTACCTTGGTCATCAATGTCCAGGCTAGGTTTTGAAAAAGAAAGTATATTTTCTTGTGTAAATAAAGATGGATGCTGCCTCCTCCTCTTGTGTAGGTGTGCTCTTTGACCAGCTTGAGTTAACTGAGGCAGTTGTACAGACTGCTGGTTGCCACAAATAAAATAAAAAAATTGTGTAAACTACAAGTAAAGAAAATTAAATGGTGTTTCTCTTCTTTCTCTCATCTCTTTAGGAACGCACCAGGTCATTTGACAGCTTCAATATGAACACTCTGGAGAGCTCCCTGATTGACATCATGAGGGCCGAGCAGGACACCCTGAAAGGTGAGGATGTCAGCCGCCAGTCAAGAACATGAAACACTAAGTGGCAACACCACCCTTTTTGTTTTACATAATGTTGACAAAAGAGACGTAGTGCACAGAATTGAACATCATGGTGTGCCATGGAGAAAACAAAACACTAATAAGAGAATAACCAAATATCTGTCAATTTATTTAAGATTACTTTCAAGATTAAGATTGCTGTCGAAAAATAATCTCAAATGCTTTCAATGGATTACACAGTGTTATGGCATTGAATAAAATGTAAATTGACCATCCTCTTACATGAATATGAACATAAAGATAAGGGTGTGTTATGATTGTCTCTCATTGTTTTGCACATTGGATCAGAGCTCACACATTCATACTCATTCACAATGTAAAACCTCAATTCTTATCAGAGACGCTTCACTTCCTCCACAGATCAGACATCTAGACATTGTGTGATCTTTTAGGGTTATGATCAACAATACTAGGAAAAGTTGGTGTGTGCAGCAGTCAGCTGACACCTCTGTCCTCCTACTTCCTCAACACCAAAACGTTTTCTCACTTGTGAGAGAATTCGTTGTGCCTGAGCATGGTGCAATAAGTATGACCTCTTTTTCTCATGCATTTTGAGAAGGAGAAGCTGAAAGAATAGAGGGCTGATAGATGCTGAGGCTTTGTATTTAAGAGGGGATTTGTCCGAGAGATGGAAGACTCCCACTCATCTGGACCGAAATTGTTGGCCTTCATTAGTTTCTCACGATCATGGCTGCAGAGCTGAAGGATGGTACGTTTTCTGAACACAATGGCTGCAGTTGAAAAGTCGAAAAAAAATCTCCTTTCCTAAGAAAATTATTTTTTCGTGCATTACACAATGGGTGGGGGTTAGTGATACAACATTTATTTATATATATATATCTATATATAGATATATATATATAGATATATAGATATAGATATATACAAAATTCAAAATGCTTGTTTTTCAAGATGACTCCTATCTAACTCCTAACCTAACTCCTTAAGAGAAGAAATCTATATTTATGGATTTGGAGCTCAGCCAATCATGCAAGGATTTCCAGAAGTTTTGGATCATGTCACAGGAATAAAATAGGTGCTCTGTTGTTTCCTGGACTTTCCTTTCTTAAAAAAAGAAAGTCCAGTGTACCCTGTGCTAAATGAGATAAGATAGGAAGCACTGAAGCTCCTTTCCTCAGCATTTATAGAATTTGAGCCGCTCTGATCATGGCTGCCACTTGGATACTCCTGGGTCATTTCACTCAGTTAGGAACCCTCCCAAGCCAAAAAAGACAGTGACAGCGTGAAGTTGTGGTTGGTATCAGGTCACCAGAATGAACATATTTCAATTATCTGGCATGTTTGCAAACAACTGATGCAGGCTTACAGGTGCAGTTTTGCACCTTTCAAAAGACATTAGTTTGTTTCAATGGTCACTGTAAATCAGTGTAATTTGAAGCTCTCTACCCTGTATGGATTAGATGATTACACGCCTGTACAGTATTCTATACATTTCAAAGTAGCGACTCACAATTACCTAAAAAAAGAAAACCATCCATTTGAGATTGGATTATAACTGACTTTGGTTATTGATTAATAGAGACTAGTCATTGTCTCTTATTGGCTGAACGGTGTTCAGTGCTGAACTGGTCGATGGTAACCCAGAAAATGGATTATTGAATACAGCAGGTAGCTGGTGCTGTTTATTGTTTCATAGGGTGTAACTGACAGTAATTACACATAGATAATGCTTAATTAACAGAAAGTTCTAGCTAATGGTTGAGACGGAGTCGCCTGTAGGAGCAGTTCTGGTAATGATCTTTGTTTGGAAGGAAACGCATTTGATTTCTCAAGATTTTGATTCGGGTGTGGTGCTGGAGCTTGATTGGCTTTAGACTAGCTTAAAATGTCAGCCATATTTCTTTAGTAGTTTTTTTTGCTAATCCTGGAGAACAACCAATGCACAAATTTGCTTTTTGTTAGGTTGTTGCAATCTATCAATGGGCTAAGCACCAGAAACTGATGAACTTGTATATGAATTCAAACCTCACTGTAAAAGATCTCAAAATGGCAGTGGCACAGATATTGCTTTCCTTCCAAGCAAAAGCTTTCTGTTTTGAACATTGCACATAACACATTCTTCACTCCTTGTCTCCAAATCTCAGTCATAAATTTTAGCAAATTTAATTGCATCGCATGTGTACATTGCCATGTGTTCTACAACAGAGGCGTAACCAAAATAAAACACACATACATACCCGTTTCACTACCAGAATAACATGATGAGTGAAAAGTCAAGAGTTCCAGACACTTCACTATTACCTCCTATCTATTTCAGCCTCACACCCACTGGCTGAAGCCAGTGGGTGTCTAATGTTCTGCTGTCAAACTTTAGTAAATCTTCCCTCAATAATAATAGAGGAAGACTGTAAAGTTACCTCATTAGCCACGTTTAGGTATCCTAGCTCCAACCATGCTGGCACAGATTCCTGCAACTGTTAGATCCAAGAGCTTGGCATCAGAAGACAAAACAAGTCCTCTTAAAAACCACAAGCTTCTGCTTCATTAGGAATGAAACCATGTTTTTTAAACTGATATGAAATTACATATAGTTTAGCAGAAGTACTGTTGTGCTTAACTTCCTAAAATAGTTAAATGTGAATTCTTTTTCCATTTGTGTTACAGCTCAGCTCTGCAACTATTTGAGGAAAGACTAACAGCATTTACTGCTACATTCTATAGTTTTTCCAATATTTTATATTCTATCACTGCACATTTAACTTTCCTATCACTCCTTTCATTTGACCTGCTTTTTATGCCTCTGAGCTTGTGACAGCCGTGGCTGGGTGCATCATGTTTTCGGATTGTCGGTCCGTACGTATGTCCCATTCTTATTAACATAATATCGGTAACAACTTGAGGGAATTTCTTCAAATTTGGTGCAAACGTTCACCTGGACTCAAGGATGAACTGATTAGAATTTGGTGGTCAAAGGTCAGTGTCAGTGTGACATGAACTGTGGTGATCATCGATCATCGTTTGTGCTGCTGTGTTGAAGATGTGTGTTAAGCATATCTGAGTCTGGACAAACAGGCTTGTAAACTGCAAACTGGACTGGTTGGTGGAGGCGTACAACCTCGAGGCGCCTGTATGCCTCCATCTTTCCCAAATTTGTTCTTGTATAGTACCCCATTCTCCACTGCTTTCACATGATGCATCACGCCATATCTCATCCCTTATTCCTTATCTTTTTTTGTCCTGTAGCCCTCGGCCTGCTATAAAATATTTTGCTATTTATTCCTTATTTTCATAATTCTTGTCAGACTTAGCTGTGTGCTGTAGCAGTGCCTTCAGTAAGTCCTTCCCTTTTCCCTCACAGCAAAGTAAAAAGAAAAACATAATTACAGCACATTTTCTTTGAGTGCTGACTCTTCTCCAGGCCAACTGATTCTCCCTCTCTCCTGCTCTCTGTGACACACATACATGCATGCGCTCACAAATGTAATAAACACAGACAGTGTGATTTCGGAAGCACATTTAGATACACATAGGCAGAGCAGAAATTTCTCATTCCAGCGGAACATATTGAACAAAGTGAGAGCGATGAAGCAAGGGAACAGGCGAGACAAAATGTCTACAGTAGAAGTGGCTTTGAATCGCTTCCAGCATTGTCCTGACTGACAGAAAGGATCCCTCTGTTCAGCCACCACACACACACACACACACACACACACACACAACTTGTGCATGCATGTTCTTTAACTGTTACTGTACTATACATGTATGCAGCCAGCAGGCAGTGGGATGCAAATAAGGTTCACAGAGAGGGCACACACAACCCTGCAGGAGCACAGGGATGGGATGAGCTTACGTGCCTGTGCACTTGTTCCACAGAGACTATTAAAGGCTCTTTAAATCCAATATGACACGTTCTGCTCAAATGGACTTTGATTTTGGGTGGTGCACCTAACAGCACAGATTACTAAACTAAATTACAGGAGGAGATAAACTGGTGAATTCGGTAGTGTTGTCTGGAAGAATTGTCCTTGTCTGTGTAATATGGTTTTATCTTGATTAAACCAAACATTTTACTGACAGAGTTGTATTTTGAAGCCGATAGCGTCCCGACCGTGATGAATGTGTTTGAATGTATGGAAATCTGTTGTATAGTAGCTCTTGAAGCCACGGGTGGTCCGCCCTGGTTTCTGTGGTCTGTGAGTCCCAGTTCTGTTTCATGCACCACATCTACTGAGTACTGTGGGGCTCAATAGGCGAGGTGTGGGGGAGGGGCCAGCAGATTTCCATGTGACTGAGGCATTGGAATGCACCAATCACAGGGCGGTCCGTACCCATACAACAATGGTTGTACTATTTCAGCTCTTTTATCTCATTATCCCTCTGCAGCAAGCGGGCCTTGCATAACTTTGAAGCTTGTTTGGCATCATAACATGTACTTGTGTGGGTGTGCGTGTGTGTGTTCGAGACGGGCCTGGCAATTGGCTCAATGTAAAATGTATGACATGAGGCTCAGGGAAGGAGAGAGAGGCGCACATTGGGAAAATGGAGGTGGATGAGAGGGAGAGAGATTGTTGGTGTCCCACAGATGTAGTCTCTAATGAGATTGATGTGGAAACAACACAGTGTACTCATAGCCGTCACAGCCAAAACCTATTCTGCATTAGCACTTTCACCAAACTTTTAATACATACCTCTGTGTAAGGCAGCTATTTAAAACTAAACACATAAACTTTTATAAGGAGTATGTCCTACACTGTGTGCAGAGCTGAAAAAAAAAAACAAAAAAGTCATGTGGGATATTTTCTGGAGGTTATGCTGTCAGCAGCATAGAGACTCTCCATGTATTTGCATGTCTCACTCACTGAAACAGATTTTTGCATAGAATAAGGATTCAACATAAAAAGTTGTTCTGTCCATTCGTAAAAAGACACGACAGACACGACTTTAAAACAGTTTTTCCCTCCATCTATCGCATGTAGTCATATGTAGGCCCCATCATGTTAAATGTTTCTGCTCTGTGTCTCCCCATGCAGGTCGTCTTGGGTTCCCCCATCCAGGCGGGGACAACCCTCTGCCCCTCAATGGTACGTATAGTAGCCTACCCACGTGCACTAACATTACAGATTAGACATTTTAATCATAAATCACAAGGAGTTTGTGCACAAAATGAAATAGATGATTATTTTGACAAATTCAATTAAAAATGATCAGAATGCCTTGAAAACATAATTTGATTAAATGTCAAGCAGTCATTCGTTTCACAAGAAGATATTACTTTTTAAATGGAGTTGGTGTTCTACATGAATTAAAATTGCTCATTAATCTGAAAACATGCACCCACCTGACAGGCTAAACAAAAGGTAAAAAATAAAAAAATTAATTAATCAAATAAATGATTAATAATTTTGATGTTTTTTTTTTTATCATTCCTGAACTAAAAACATGCTCCCTCGGGAAAAATCATGTCACTTTTTCCCCACCCAAATGGACATAGTATGATTCACCCAATTTTTTAACACAGTTTTTCTCTGTGAAGGTGACACTGAGTACAGTAGGTCGAGATAGTTGGAGTGATGCTAAGCAAATGCGACTTTTGAGTCTGGTGACTTTGGAGCCCTGTGTCACCTTGCTTGCCTGGGATAGAATCCAATTTAAAAAAAGATGTGTCTCTCCTCTATGCTCCTCTGATTTGTAATGTCAACATGAAATAAAAATGCCATTTCCACACCTCTCCACTTAAAAGTAGTTTTAACCAACAAGCATCTTCAGTGATGACCTTTCACCTAGTTTTGTAACTTCTGTTGGGTCCCTCCCTTTCATCTGGCTGCTGATATTGCGTTGTCCCTTAAACAAATACATGAATGAAGAGAGGAATGAAAGAGGATGAGTAGATAAGGGAGAGGATGTAGGGGTTTTCGATGCCAGAAAATAAGTGGGTGGATTTTGGAGGGTGGGGGGATGGATTTAGGGATAGAGCGAGAAAGAAAGGTGGCCTCAGGATGGGACTTGCTGTATGTGTACTAAAACCTTGTCCTGTTAATGTCCTGTTATTCTGGTTTCAGGGGTTTTATATTTGAGGTTTAGATTTAAGGTCTTTTTCAGGATTTTCTTGTTTTTTTGTTTTTTTTGGGGTGGGGGGGGCATTTTACTTTCATTTGACAGAAACAGTAGAGAAGCAGACAAGAAATGCTGTAGGGGTGACATGCAACAAAGGTCTCCTGCTGGATTCAAACCAGGGATGTTGCACTTACATGGTATGCGTCTCCGACCTCTGGGCTGCTGTGATACCCTTCATTACAGGGTTTTTGATTCAAAACGTGAGGCTATATTGTGCTTTGTTTTCTACTTTTGAATTCAATCTGCTGCCTTTGACTCCAGGTACTGTCAATGCCTTTTAAAATTATATATAAATAACTCTGGCTGTCTGGAATGGTGGAACAGTTGTTAAAAAAAAAAAAAATTGGCAAATCCCTTTGACATGTGCTGCAGTTTCCACAACAGCAGTTTAATATTCAGCTGCCTCTACCTTGCCCTTGCCCACTCTCATTCCCTTTATCACTGTATAATTGTGTTGTTGTAGCTTTTGCCTTCTGGTCTTGGGCCAGGATGTCAAACAGGAGAGGCCAGTAGTTTCTTCACAAGATTGCCGGGTCACATGGTGAGATCACATGGTCAGGAGCTGTCATCAAGCCCTGAAACAGATGGTGCCAGCGGATAGAGGTTGAACACCACTTCTCTCTCTCTCTCTCTCTCTCTCTCTCTCTCTCCCTCTCTTTCTCTCTCTCTCTCTGTCTCTCTCTCTCAACCCCCCCCCCTCTTTTTGTCCCATAAGCAGATACACAGATTGCATACTCCCCATTCTCTTGATCTCTCTCACTTACTCTCATTTTCTCTCACCCCCACACAGCTTTTTATCAGCTTGTTTCTCCATCTCTTCCAATCTATTTTCTCTCTCTCTCTCCCTCACACACGCATACATGCACATCTTTTTATAGCCCTCTGCGCTCTCTTTCAATCTGCTTTCCTGTCTCTGTCTCTCTCTCTCTCTCTCCTCTCTCTCTTGCTAGCTCTCTTTGACCTTCCCCCCCAGAGTTAATGTCCATCTGGGTTGGAAAGTCCACTGAGGGAACTGAGGATTATTGCTTGTGTGCTCTGGCCACTTCTTCATCCTCTCCATGTTCTTATACTTTTAGCTGGTTCGATGCTTCAGTCTCTCCAGTGTCCGCATTTTAAATGATTTCACTTCAGCTCTGTGCAAAGAAAAAATGTTAGCATTAGAGATAGTAAAAAGAGTGTGTACACATATAACACTAAACTGCATTGTGGGCTAATGGACATGTTAGATGAGTGATAGACATGTTTTAAGGCAGAAAAAGGAAGTGGATTTCTGCATGAAGAAAACAAAACAAAAAAGACTTCTTTGATTATTCCTGCATGGAAAATGTACAGCCAAGGTGTGGTTTGTAATACCCTCTTGTAAAAGACACATTGTTCCCACCCTACTTGCTGTCAAATGTGTTCTTAAGATTGATCAAATTTTTCAAGAGATTTTTTTTTTTTAATGTGAAACATCCGTTTTTAAGGCGGCATCCAGCTAACACAGCCTGACACAACTGAATTCATTTGTACCCTCAACTACGTACAGTACGTGATGAGGGCAGCTGCTCCTCTCTCTCCTTGGTGACACTGCTGCCACAGGGCTGCTATCGTGTTTACACGGCAAACAATGGAGTCTGCAATGGTAACCGCTCGCTGTCACAGATGCACTGGGTTTAGATTTAGACATTAGAGCTGAACTTTTACCATAAGCACAAGGAATCACGTGTTGAGACATGACTGGCCATATCCAGAAACACATAATGCCAACTGCTGGGTTGTCACTTCAGGCCCCCCATAGTTGTCCGTACTGGTCCTTCATCTGCAGTGGTCTCAGCAACAGAATTGAACTAAATCTCTGCGACTGGGGAAGCTTGAATTTTAGTGACTGTATCTGCTGTTATCATGGTTCTTGTTCAGTTCTAATGTTCATTTGATGCTTTGCAGAGAAGTGCCTTGGTTCACTGAAGCAGCGTGTTTACTAGACTATCTGACTGTCGTACTACTGTGCCTGACTACCTGTGTTTTGCCTCAAGGTTATTTCCTCTTTCTCTGCTCCTTCCCTTCATATGATGACACACATTTGTAGTTTTTAGTCAAGCTGAGTGAACTAGAGAAGTTGCACAGCTGTTTAGTCAGTCACCATTCACTACCTAGTTATTTTTGCAATTAAATTCCAACGAAGCTGTTGTCCTTGCGATTGGCCCTGAGCGCGTTTCTGTGCTCACCGCACTTTTTTGCATTTCCTCCGCAGGGGCCCACAAATGTGACCTTGGCTCTCAAATTCATCACACTAAGCCTGTCTTGAGGAACTCGAGAGTTGGACTAAAGCCTCAGTTGTTATCTGCGTTTATGAAGCTGCTCTAGTCAGGGTTAATCTGTAAAGTGGCAATACAAAAACCAGTAAAATGCTAAATTTATTTGATTCAGAGAAAATTATAAATGATTTCATATCATTTGCCTTGACTACTGAAATTTTATCTGCAGCTACATCAAGGCTTTTAACAGTGAAGGGATATTTCTGTAGTGGAACTGAGGCATTTTGATAATGTCATCGGCATCATAGAAACAGGAATAAGAAAAAACTTTCACAATTCTCCTACACATAAAGGTTACTGCACTACTCTACTTATTTCCAGAAGGATTATTTAAAAAAAAAAAAAAAAAAAGTTACAAAAGCTTCTTTGCTGTCATCTGTTCTCTCCTTGAGAAGGCTGCTTACTGTGGGTTAGGAACTGAGCAGGGAGCCTCATGACTATTTCTTATTTTCCGAGTAGAGTTAAGGTTACTGTGCTATTTCTGTCAAGGTTACCAGGGTTCAGAATGGCCTGCTTGGAAACTCAGGTCAGCAAAGTCAAAGCATCAGTTTTCGAAACTCTTCAGAAAACATTTTTATATTCACTTTGGTTCTCAGTTGCCTTGTCTAATGTTCTTATCCTAGCGTCTGTGTTGAATTATTGCTTTAGGAATTATTATTATTTGTTGTTAGTTTTGCTGAGCTTTCTGTCATACTGATATGTCCTTTGCCTTCTCTGTGTCTCTTCACATTGAAACACTCTTCAACTTCACTTTGTAAGTGCTGTATAAATAGCCAGGTGGCAAGTGAGCACCTTGTAATGTGCCACACATTCTCAACCTTTTTGTGAAACGCATTGAGACAAAATCCTTGTGTGTGACATGATCAATCTGTAAGTAATTCACTGAAATGTCCGCCCACACACTTTCCCATATTAAAAAAACAGAAACTGTACTTTAACTTGATACTCTGGTGTCACTAAAAGAACATGTTGACAGTTCCGCAGACTCATTATGATTCACAGCTGATTAATAAAATAAAGGACAGGCTGGGAGGCAATTTAACATCCCCCCATTGTTATAGACCACCTGGCACTTCTGTTAGTGTAGTGTATTATGCATCTTTTAATAATCATCCTCTCCTTTGATTTGTCCTTACTCCACATGCAGCCAGGAATTATAGCAGGAGACGAGGTAACATATAATCATGGATATATTATGTCACTTTTTCAGCATAAATTAAACTGTGTATCTCAATATTTTGACTGATTTTGTCATGTTAAACTGTTATATTATGATTTTATTGGTTATGGTGGTGTTGGGTTGTTGTTCATAAGCTCATATAAGTTTTGAACGCCCCCATGCTTTTTATCTGTACAGTGAAGTGACATGTTTGTCTGCATGATCGTCTAAATGCCGAGCCTCGCTACGAGCTTGTGAAGTGATCTTATGCTTCTTTCATCCTTTTAGTGTGTGTGTCCCTCATTATGCTCGAATCTGCTTGCATTGTCTCATTTCCACACACACACGTTACAACATTGTTAAGTCAGACAGTACAAGTTGCCGGTGTCACATTTAGCTGAAAGTTAATGAGGCAAACAAAGTGTAGTATGTGATTTACACGCAGCACAACAGAGGCACGGACACATGGCCAGGCACAGACACTCGTACGAGCTCGCGCACATCACATACTGTAATCTGAGGCTAACTCCCTTGCATAAATCTTTATAAAGCAGCTCAGGGCGGGAGGGCTTAACCTCTATAACACACACATGCCCAGTCCACTGTGAAACTATTTAGACTCACTCACTGCTGCGTTTCTTCACTTCTCCACAGACTTTACAGTTGCTGGTTGCGCGTGAGGCACGTCACCTAATTAAGAATCTACTCAAAATAACACATAACGTGACATTCTGTTCTCTTCTTACTTTTTGTTTTTCATCCAGTCCAATTACTTTGGATATGACTCTAATAGTACTTTCAAATGGTAATTTATACTTGCTACATGCTAGACTACACTGGAAATATCTTATAACCATTTGACTGGACTTTCATGATTACGTCTATATTTGTTTCTCCTTTGTTACTCTTCACTCCTCCGTGTGTTTTTTTCCCCCAGACAGCAGCATGTTCATAATATTTGCAGGCTTCTGAACACATTTGCAGATGCTGAAGAGTTATAGAAATATTTACCATATTTTCTTCTCACCAGATGGTATTTAAGCCACACACGCGCTCAGGGAAATAGATGAAATGCTGTATGTTTTAAAGCATCCTCAGTAAGGTGCATTACATCCTACAAACATACAAATAAATGATGTCAGATCAATACAAATCTAAAAGAAATTCTTTATCTCTTCCCCTTCCACCCATCACCAGCCAGGTGACAAAAAGTGTTATAAAATACAGTTGTCATTACTGCTCTAGTGTTACCATGACAACATGGACCCCACCTCTATTTTTACTCCTAGTTCTCTCCTCAGGAAATAAACCGCTCCTGCTCTCCTTCTTTCCATCTCAGGCCACTCCTCTCTCTTCCCTATGGAGGATGGTTTCCCCGATGACGAACGTGGCGATCAGGGTCTTGCGGGCCTGGGATCTCCACACTGCTTTCCACACCAGAACGGAGAGCGCGTCGAACGCTACTCACGCAAGGTCTTTGTCGGAGGACTGCCCCCAGATATAGATGAAGGTACAGTAGTTGAATTACAGTCAAAATGATATCATTTCTCTGCCATTTGAGTCAGCGTCTGTCATGATTTAAACTTTTATCTTAAAATTACACCTGAAAACATGTTAAGCATCCTACTGCACACTGAGTATAAACCTGTAAATCTGCTTTATTTCAGATGAGATAACAGCCAGTTTCCGGCGTTTTGGACACCTGTTTGTGGACTGGCCTCACAAAGCTGAGAGCAAATCCTATTTCCCCCCCAAAGGTATGAGAAATTGTCATCCGAGGTTCTTCATATTGTGCCATACTGTGTCTGTCTGTCTGTGTTTCTGGTGTAAAATTGACAGAACATCTGTCTGCATTAAAGAAAGGCAGATATGTTTGATGATGTGCTCCCTCTATCAACATGTATGCATCCGTGCTGTCTGGTCTTTGTCTTCAGGCTGTTATCTGAAGCATTTGTTAACCATGTCTGGACTGTTTGTCTGTTTGTAAAAGCTTATGGCCCCCTGCTGTGAATGCAGTATGTCACGATCAAACATTGAGTCTCAGTAATCAGAGCACTAAATTCCAACATGATTCTTTGTCAGTTCTTCGAGTCCCCAGTGGCAGGAATAACCCTGCTGTATTTTGTGCAGGCTATGCCTTCCTGCTGTTCCAGGATGAGAGCTCAGTGCAGGCTTTGATTGATGCCTGCATCGAGGAGGACGGCAAGCTGTACCTCTGTGTGTCTAGCCCCACCATCAAAGACAAGCCGGTCAGTGGAAACCCGCACACAAACACCCCTGCCTGCACACATCTATTGCTGTTTCCACTGAACTCTGTGAAATGTGTGGTTATGACTTTGACTTGACTTTAGTGACTTTAGTTTATTACTAGAGCTGAAACCTGTAGGTTTTGTGTGTGACAGGTCCAGATCCGCCCGTGGAACCTGAACGACAGCGATTTTGTGATGGATGGATCTCAGCCTCTGGACCCGAGGAAAACCATCTTTGTGGGAGGTGTCCCTCGTCCACTCCGTGCAGGTATCCCTCATTTATATGTTGTTTTTTTGTTTTTTTGTACATAAGACACTTTCTCCACCAGGTGAATTATCAACAAATGTGTTTGTACTGACAACATTTACATTTGAAGTATATACTGTGCATACAGGCTGAATCATTTATCAAAGGCCTTCAAAATGTTCCCACTATTGTTTTTGTTTTCCTTATGTTCAGTCACCTTTTCAGTACATCTCTTTTTAAATACTCTGCATTTTATATTTGTGCCTATGTTTATACTGTAAGCCACAAATAAGCTAAGTTGCCCCTTCACTTCACTTCTGCTTTATTTCTTCCCATTATTTGAAGTGCCAGCTGTTGGCAGAAATCTTTTCTCTACAAGACACTGCGGTGTGATCAGCTTGTGTTCATAATAAGCATTAGGTCTGCTGGAGGGTAGAGCTAAAAGAGGTGCTGACCTAAACTGGTCCTAACAGGAAGTGCTCTGAGGCACGCTGTGCTGTGTTGAATATTAAATTCCTTTTTATCCTTATACCAACATCATGAGTAGTTCGTGCTCAAGTTTGCTGCTCTTCTGGTTGCTGTGCTACATATATGGTCATGACCAAGGTCATGAGGCCCTGTGGTGCATTAAATGATTTATGACCCTGTGCAATATCTGGGTCTAAATTTACTTGTAAAAAATCTACATATTGGGAAAAAAAAACCTGCCATTTAACTTGTTTTTAATAAGTAAAGCTAAACTGTTCATTTTAGAGTCACTTCCTCCCCCCTGCCCCATGAATATTTGTTAACAGCAGTTAAGAATAACACAATAAAGACTGCAAATAAACTTGTTGGGATTTAATGCAGCCATTTTAGCAGCTGTCCACAGGGCACTGCCCTCATATTTGCATCAAACAACCCACATCAGCTTACAGTGTTTGTGTTCACTGTCTACAAAGACATGAGTACTAGGCGTGTGTGTGTGTGTGTGTGTGTGTGTGTGTGTGTGTGTGTGTGTGTGTGTGTGTTGTTCAACTTTGCAAGAGGGTTTGTCATTATGTTCACGTCTCTGTGTGTCAGACTTGTTTTTGTAAATATGTTGCTCAGCTCATTCAATGCGTCTCTTTCTCCCCTCTGCAGTGGAGCTGGCCATGATCATGGACCGCCTGTACGGTGGAGTTTGCTACGCTGGCATTGACACAGACCCTGAGCTGAAGTACCCCAAGGGAGCGGGGCGTGTCGCCTTCTCTAATCAGCAGAGCTACATTGCTGCTATCAGTGCTCGCTTTGTACAGCTGCAGCATGGAGAAATCGATAAACGGGTGAGCTGAAAGAATAGAGAGCTCGGTGTTTTTTCGGCCTACGCTCTTGGTCCCTGTCTTTCTTCATTTATCTCCCCACAGCTCACTTCCTGCTCTATTTCTCTCAAATGACTTTAAGAATTTAATCCGTCTTCGTTCTTATTTATTTTTACTGAATCTTTCGTCTTCTGCAGTGCAGGGCAGGCTGGATGAGCGTACATGCTTATTTTTAACACTGCTCTGTTAACAGTTACAATGAGAAGTAAACTTACAGGAACAGACATGGTCGTTAGTGGGACATGATTAACAAAGATTCAGTTAAAAGACGCAGATGCAGGACGGTCAATGAGAACAGTGCTGAAGTTACAGAGAGATGTAAGGCAGATTATTCCAGGAGACCACTGCAGGAAAATAAAAAGCTATCTTTTGGCTGTTAGCTTCAACTTGTTCTGCAACAACCTGTTCTGGGCCATTTTCACAGCAGACATAGGGAGAGCAAAGGTGTAACTATTGACATTAATGATGCCTCCATTCTCTTTAATTGATGACAGTGAACCAGCATGCACAATACCTACACCACTGAAGCTGCTGAATTGAATTTATCCGTCATTAAAATACATTTCTTGTTTGTATGTCCAAATGTGAAAGTGTGTGAAAAAAGGTCTGTGCGCGCCACTACTACTCAGTCTCACCAGTTTGCTGTATGTAATGACCTTACAGTCTCACACACACACACACACACACACACACACACACACACACACACACACACACACACACACACACACACACACACACACACACACACACAGTGTACACTTGGGTGATGCAAATGCACTTGTGAGCTAAGCCTAACAATGTCTTACCACCCACTCCTGTCAGCAGCCAAGGAATTAAAGTAATATCTGCAGGTCTGCCGCAGAGCCTACGGTGGCTTGTAATCGACACAAATAATATTCACATTTGCACAATAGACGTGAGGGAACAAGTTAATTTCAGCAGAAATCCAACAGAAATATTTTGTGTAGAAGTATTTTCATGATATAAGTTTGCAGCTTTCTCATTTGCATAATTGGTGTGCAAATTTTGTAGACTGGGTGCCTTGGTGACATTCACTTGCTAATAGCAGAACTCTTCATCACTGAACAGTTGAAAAAGCAAGTAAAAGGTGTTTTGAAATTCAGTATGATCTTGAAAGTGAGTTTGAAATCCACAAATTTCATCATTTGCCCAACTGTTATGAAAATCTCTTCAGCTATGTTGTGGTTATTTTATAATGAATTGAATTCTTACCATTAGTTTTCTATGTTGTAGTCCACCAAAAAGAAATCATATACTTATACTAAGAAGTGGGGGATACAGAAACAGGATTCATAAAGAAAATAACATTGCTGATGAAATCATTCCCACCTCTGATTGCAGGTGGAAGTGAAGCCATACGTGCTGGATGACCAGCTGTGCGATGAGTGCCAGGGAACTCGCTGCGGCGGCAAGTTTGCACCGTTCTTCTGCGCCAACGTCACCTGTCTGCAGTACTACTGCGAGTACTGCTGGGCGGCCATCCACTCGCGCGCCGGACGAGAGTTTCACAAACCCCTGGTGAAGGAGGGAGGCGACCGACCCCGTCACATCTCCTTCCGCTGGAACTGAGCAGAAGACAGAGAGGGAGAGGCAACAGGGGAGCAGGAGGGCAGGTAGTGCAGGAGTCGCAAATCATTGTACAAATAAATGCACTTTTCTGTTGCTGGTTCCTTTTTGCTCTAATTTCACCGAACCTTTTTCTCATTTTGTTAAGTTAATATATATCTATATTTTGAAGATAGAAAAGAAAAACTGGAATTATATCCAAATATGTCCAGCAAGGAAAAAAGATGTGTAACATAATTTTATTTATGCGTTTGATTTTTGAAATATTTTTATTAGTTCTCAAAAAATACATATATAGGAAAGTTTGAGGTGTGATATGGTACTCTGCTATTCAATTGGCATATTTTTCTAAACAATGTATTTGATTTTAATTTTGATACAAGAGGCCCCAAAACAAATAATGTTAATTTGGCATTTGACGGACTTGTTTTGTAGCAGAGCTGTTTGCTTTTTGTTTTGTATCGAGTCTCCAGAGCAAATGCTGTTGAAACAGTATCTCATTGGCTATTTCTTTCTGAGAGGTGTGATTAAGTTTATTGATACAAGAGGCTCCAGAGCAAATGTGAATTGAAAAAGGTGTTGCTAAAGAAGAGTGCACTTATTTCCAATTCAAAGAGTGCAGATACGCTATATGAGACCCTTAGTTGTTAACCAAAGCTGAATCTTAATTAACTTTGACGAACAGAAAGGGCCCACTGCAGAAAGAAATGGATTCTTTTTTTCCTCCCAGATCAAAATTTTTTAACCTCTCTTTTTTTTTATGATTTCCAAGACCATACAAATATTTTGATGTTACTTGAAAATCACAACAAAATTTTAGCAACACATATTTGGGTTTTGATCTCCATTTTGACATGCAAAAACTAATACCTCAAACTCAGCTGCTAATGTGCCGAATACAGGTTAAAAAAAAAAAAGAAAGAAAGCAAGAAAGAAACCATCATCACCTGCTGCTGTTCTCCTTTCCTTAGAAGTGTAATCAAAGGGAAGTGATGTAACAGGCAGTGTCTGATGTGACTGGTACAGTTTTGTACTCACTTGCTTCATCACCTCCTTATTTTTGTAATCAAACCCAGGGTTGTGCTAAGGACAGAGCAGAGCATCGTACAGTATACAGTGTATTAGGGGAATGTATGGCGTAGGGAGGCTACAGGAGAGACAGACAGGCTTACTGCTAAAGAGATAAATCCAGCCCCACTCCCCCCCTCCTCATGTCTGCCTGTGGCCCCTGCTGCTAAGCTAGCAGCTAACAGAGGGTAGGGCCTCATTCACAGATCAAAACCCACTTTCTGTGTCTGCACACAGCGGAGCTTGGATACAGATCTTTCAGGACTGAGGCTAAAGTAACTCCTCGAGAGAAGGCTGGTTGCGTGGGCAGCCTTTATTGCAGTTTTCACAGGGGCTACCGCCAAACGGGAGTTGCCTGTCTTTGTTCGTTTTTTTTTTTTTTAAATGCATTTGTGCAATTCTCCCAAGTCTTTAATGAAAAAGTACTACTTTGCATCCAACAGTCAGCGACATTTAATTAAAGAAGCAATTTAAAGTTTATCTGATTTCCGAATCGTCAGCACACATTTGAGTCATGGAGGGATCTGCCCTGTCGGCGAACCCTCTATCCTTTCTCCTGCCAAGTTAATCCAACTCAGCATCCAGTGTTTTTGAAGCATAAATGAAGATAGTCTCTGCAGTGTGCTCTACTACTACACACTTGTGACCCACATGCAGTTTGCTCTTGATAACTAGATTGCAGGTCCAGTCGGTTGTACCCAGTGGCTTTTGGGAACCAAAGATGGCTGTGCAGTAGTGGGTCATACTGTAGCTCATTTCTTGTCTAGGTTTTTATTCTTATTTTCTTTTTTCATTTCCTCAAGGATGTTTTTTTCATATATATTTTTTCAAGAATCTGTCACTTATACCCAGTTTTACTTAACTGTCAAGCCCTGATGGACTCCAGCGAACCAAAGATTGGCCTTGATGATATTTATATGTATTGCAGTCAAAACCCATTAGAACACCAGTGGAAAAACAACAGGGCTCGCAGACACACACACACACACACACACACACACACACACAACACACAACACACAACACACACACACACACAAGGCCTCACACTCTCCGTAGCCCAAAATGGAGGTGCACGCTGGCACTAGTTTTTTTTAATTTCAAATAGGTCTGTGTGTTTGGGAAAACATAAAGTGCACATCAACACAGCGAAAGTAAAACTAATCCTCACATTTGTTTGACGTTTTAGGTCACTCAGTGGCATCCTACTAGCCGAGCATTTAAATATGTCAGGGAGTTAGTACAGAAACTTGATTATACACACTAGTGAGAATCCTCATATCGGCATGGTGTCGTTTGCACCAGTTTTGCACCCTGGACATTAGTTTTGTGGGTGTGGTGGGTGAGCATTTTAGAAGTTAAAACACTTTGTGAAGAATTTGCTGTTAAATGAGATGAAAAAAAAAAGATTATTTTATACATGGCCTGCTGATTTTTGGTACAGTGTTTTCTAGCTAAATTATTTTGTCATGCACATATAAACATTTATTATGCACTACTTTTCTAAATATTTTTTCTTTTTCCAACAGTCATTTTAGGCACATTTTTCACAAATGGGGAAACTCCTTTTTGCAATACCTCAATTTTTCACATTGTGAAAGGTAGCTTTTGTACTTTTGTTACTGAGAGATCTGCATATATGGAAATGTTCATTTTAAGAAAAAAAGTTGAGTGATTTCAATATATATTATTTTCAATTATGCTTTTTATACATTTCAGTGCTGAGGAATCTTTACAACTAAGTGCGCACTTGTGTTGATGCGACTTCAGATCTGCAGAGGAGAGACCAAAGTGTATTGCTCTCTTGGTCTTAGCTTTTCGTACACTAGATGTTTCCAGTCAATCTGGTCAATTACAGCATGGCGAGAGAAAAAAATAAACAAGTTGTAATTTGAAATTGATGTTAATGTCTCTAAACATGGCTATACTAGTTGGAAATGGTAACTTCTGTCTTGGTTTCCTCTCCATAGATGGAGCATAACTTATTATAAGGAGAATGCAAAATTTGGTTCACGCTTAACGCTGAATCTCGTATCACAAGAATGGATGTTTGGTGTTTAGATATTTTAATATTTGAAAAAAAAAAAGTATATATATATTCTTGAACTTGCCAACTAGCACCTATTGTAATCCTTAGCATGCATGACAAAAAAGAGAAAATGACAAGTACATGAATTAGCTATTAAAATTAATTGTTGTGGTGTGCACCAAATGTTTCTCAACTATTAAGTTGTTATAAGGACACCCCCCAAACCCACTCTCACCTCACCTCACCCTCCTCCCCACATCCCCTCCACATGTGTTGATCTCCTTGCTTCCCCATTCGCAGACCTCTGCAGGATGCACATGACAGAGAGATAAGACGAGAAACAAGACAGAATCTAACTTAAAATCGATTTGGCAGTGCATGACTTTGAGCATCCTTATAGAACACTGTTTAAAAGACTTGAGAACTCATCCCCGCTGTCTGTCGAGGTGATCTTATATAGACCTATCTGGAGGAAGGGGAGCTTAAAGACTTGAATGTGGTAAATGTTGCAAGTTAACTTCAAGTTGTTATGTGCAATACTTCTTTTGAACCTTTTTCCAGATAAAGACTCTTTGCAATGTAATTCTTTAATGCCATTTTTAATTGCAGACATTTAATTAAAGAAGATGTTAATATGTTTTTCACAGTCATTTTCTACTGTTATTGTAATCCTTTTCATGCTGGTGTTTGTAAAAAAGAAAAGAAATCAAACTATTTGTACTAATATAAATAATTGAAGTTATTTTTAAAACATTAAAGGTTTTGTGCTCATTTGCTTATTTTGTTTATTTTAAGCTACTGTGATTGATTGCATTGTAATTATTAGGTCAACAATGTATTTAGCTGTTTATTGGTATATTTTTAATTGGAATGTATAATTGATTTTTATAATTTTGATCAGATTTTTGTTATATTTTTGAGGTGAAGCTTTTAATATGTTAAAGTGTCTAGTTTTTACTAATTGCTATATTGTGCTCCACAATATATGGTTCACATTTTCTGAAGGAAAATAAATATTTAAATATTTGTCTGTTTAATGATGTTACTTAATGGCAAGATTTCAATAGTTTTTAACTGTGTATGGGAAGGTTGTTGTATTTATTAATAGCATTTTTTTACTTAAGATATCACCTTAATTTTTATTGTCATTTCACTTTATAAGTTCCTATTTTTGTATTTTCCTTTCTAATTAAGTTATGTAATACGGATATGTCCATATTTCTAGGAGTTGCTCTGTAAAAGTGCTAGTGAAACAAAAAAGAAAAATCTAATGTTATTTAATTGTTTGCAGCCAACTATTTATAACAGTATGCATAATTTTTTAAATATTTGTAATGTGAAATGTTAAATGAAATAAATCCTAACTGTGATGAAAATATGTGCTTGGTGTGCTTATTTACGTTAAGTTTCTGACATTTAATGCTGTTTTAAGATGGTCTTACTAACTGCTACCTGACCCTGATAAGTTTCGCCACATCTTTCTGTGCTGTCTTGTAGTGTGATATTTTCATATACATTAGCAGTCAGTCTGAACATTTAGCATTGGCTGTAAATGTGAGAGAATCATCACATGTTCATGATCCTGTGTTGAAGAGTAAAATCTACATATTTGGCCCTACATAACACAAGTGGAGCAGGTTAAAGCTGGAGCCTCCAACAATCACTACTTCTTTAAAACTGGCTTTGAAGCAGGTTTTTACTCATGAGAGTAACTTAGCAATAGGCTGAAAGGTGGTGTTTCATTGCTGGGTGTGGTTAGAAGTGTAGTCTGTAAATCGTCCTGACAATGATGTCACAGTGTACTGCCACTCCCTGTGGTACACTTCTACATCAACACAACACAGTGAGAAGTTGAACACCTAGAGGTCAGTGATTTTCAGCTGGTGATAAGTTGGTCTCTTTTTATGCCTTACTATACTATGATGTTTTGATTACTTACTATACTATGGCATTTTATGATTACAATTCTATGACATTTATTGTCTTTTTTTGACATTTTTATACCTTACTATACTATGATGTTTTATTTATGTTTATACGCCTTACAATTCTATGACATTTATTGACGTTTTTATGCCTCACTATACCATGATGTTTTTGACATTTTTATGCTTTACTATACTATGACATTTGATGCCTTACTATACTACGATGGTTTATGTCTTATTATGCTATGACGTAGTTTGACATTTTTATGCCTTTCTTTACCACAAAGTTTTTTGACGTTTTTATGTCTTACTATACTATAATGTTTTTTTGATGTTTCTATACGCCTTACAAATTCATGACATTTATTGAAGTTTTTATGCCTTACTATACTATGATGATTTATGTCTTATTATGCTATGACGTTTTTTGAAATTTTTATGCCTAACTATACTATGATGTTTTATGCCTTATTGTGCTATGACATTCTTATGCCTTTCTTTACTATCAAATTTTTTGAAATTTTTATGCCTTACTATAGCCTACTATGATATTTTAATAGCATTTTTTTACTTAAGATATCACCTTAATTTGTATTGTTATTTCACTCACTCAGTTCCTATTTTTGTATTTTCCTTTCTAATTAAGTTATGTAATACGGATATGTCCATATTTCTAGGAGTTGCTCTGTAAAAGTGCTAGTGAAACAAAAAAGAAAAATCTAATGTTATTTAATTGTTTGCAGCCAACTATTTATAACAGTATGCATAATTTTTTAAATATTTGTAATGTGAAATGTTAAATGAAATAAATCCTAACTGTGATGAAAATATGTGCTTGGTGTGCTTATTTACGTTAGGTCTCTGACATTTAACGCTATTTTAAGATGGTCTTACTAACCACTACATGACCCTGATAAGTTTCGCCACATCTTTCTGTGCTGTCATGTAGTGTGATATTTTCATGTACATGAGCAGTCAGTCTGAACATTTAGCGTTAGCTGTAAATATGAGAGAATCATCACATGTTCATGATCCTGTGTTGAAGAGTAAAATCTACATAATTGGCCCTACATAACACAAGTAGAGCACGTTTTTTTTTATGCTTTTATATGCCTTCCAATTCTATGACATTTATTGATGTTTTTATGCCTTACTATACTATGATGTTTTTTGAAATTTTAATGCCTTACTATACTATGACGTTTTTTAAAATTTTTATGCCTTACTATACTATGACGTTTTTTGAAATTTTTATGCCTTGCTATACTATGACATTTTTTGACATTTTTTTGCTTTACTATACGATGATGTTTTTTTGAAATTTTTATGCCTTACTATACTATGACTTTTTTTGACGTTTTTATGCCTTACTATACTGTGACGTTTTTTGACGTTTTTATGCCTTATTATGCTATGACGTTTTTTTTAAATGTTTTTGTACACCTTACAATTCTATGACATTTATTGATGATTTTATGCCTTATGACGTTTTATGCCTTACTCTACTATGACTTTTTTTGAAATTTTTATGTCTTACTATACTATGACATTTTTTGACATTTTTATGCCTTACTATAATATGACGTTTTTTAGACGTTTTTATGCCTTACTATACTATGACGTTTTTTGAAATTTTAATGCCTTACCATATTATGACGTTTTTTTGAAATTTTAATGCTTTACTATACTATGACATTTTTTCACATTTTTATGCCTTACTATACTATGACGTTTCTTGACTTTTTTTATGCGTTTATATGCCTTACAATTCTATGACATTTATTGATGTTTTTATGCCTTACTATACTACGACATTTTTTTTGAAATTTGAATGCCTTACTATACTATGATGTTCAATGCCTTACTATAATATGACATTTTTTGACGTTTTTTTTGCTTTACTATACTATGAGGTTTTTTTCACGTTTTTATGCCTTACTATACTATGACTTTTTTTATGTTTTTGTACACCTTACAATTCTATGACATTTATTGATGATTTTATGCCTTATGACGTTTTATGCCTTACTCTACTATGACGTTTTTTTGAAATTTTTATACTTTACTATACTATGACATTTTTTGAATTTTTTATGCCTTACTATACTATGACGTTTTTTGACATTTTTTTGCCTTACTATACTATGACGTTTTTTTGACATTTTAATGTCTTACTATACTATTTTGTGTATTGCCTTACTATACTGAGACCTTTTTTTGAAATTTTTATACTTTACTATAATATGACATTTTTTTTACGTTTCTATGCCTTACTATACAATGACGTTTTTTTGAAATTTTAATGCTTTAATGTACTCTGATGTTTTTTATATTTTTATGCCTTACTATGCTATGATGTTTTTCGACGTTTTTACTATACTATGTTGTGTATTGCCTTACTATACTATGACTTTTTTAAAAATTTTTTATACACCTTACAATTCTATGACATTTTTTTATGTTTTCATGCCTTACTATACTATGACGTTTTTCAACGTTTTTATGCCTTACTATGCTATGATGTTTTTCGACGTTTTTACTATACTATGTTGTGTATTGCCTTACTATACTATGACGTTTTTTTAAAATTTTTATACTTTACTATACTATGACGTTTTTTTAAAATTTTTATACTTTACTATACTATGACGTTTTTTTAAAATTTTTATACTTTACTATACTATGACGTTTTTTTAAAATTTTTATACTTTACTATACTATGACGTTTTTTTAAAATTTTTATACTTTACTATACTATGACGTTTTTTTAAAATTTTTATACTTTACTATACTATGACGTTTTTTTAAAATTTTTATACTTTACTATACTATGACGTTTTTTTAAAATTTTTATACTTTACTATACTATGACATTTTTTGAATTTTTTATGCCTTACTATACTATGACGTTTTTTGACATTTTTTTGCCTTACTATACTATGACGTTTTTTTGACATTTTAATGTCTTACTATACTATTTTGTGTATTGCCTTACTATACTGAGACCTTTTTTTGAAATTTTTATACTTTACTATAATATGACATTTTTTTTACGTTTCTATGCCTTACTATACAATGACGTTTTTTTGAAATTTTAATGCTTTAATGTACTCTGATGTTTTTTATATTTTTATGCCTTACTATGCTATGA